TTGATGGAAGTTAAGATGGCGCGCGGAGGAAATCTCGCGAAGACCTACCAGGAAGACGGCAGGTCAGTGTGGAGGGTTGAAAGGAATCCAGCGCGCCAAGAGCTGCTTGGTGCTTTCGCCTCCGCAGGCCTACATGGTGGTTGGCTCATCAAATTGGACAACTTCAAGTAAGTCCAATCGTGAGTCGGGTGATCCGGGTGTCTATTGTTGACGCTGCCGCAGGATCACCAACGCGTTCGGGACTTTCGCTGGAGGAAGAGCAGTTCCAGCAAGCTATAAGACCCAAGGCGGTCGAGGACGTGCTCAATGAGCAAGGGCACGACATCCTGCCGGATGCATCCAAACGGAGTGGTAAAGCTCGGTGTGGGGCGCCCAGCGGCCGGTCGTGCGCGGGCTGGAGTGAGAGCCGGACCTAGCTAGATGTAGCTGCCGGCTGAGGGGCGAGTGCGAATGGTACTGTCCCTACCAGCCTTTGTGTTCTTGTTCTTGCATGTGTGTACAGTTGTTTCACGACAAGTGGACGAGAGGGTTCATATTTGAGTGTTGCGCACGGGAGAAGGCGTAAGCAGCTTCCTGCGCTGTCTCACCATCCCGAGAGCAGAAAACAGTTGAGCAGCCGCATTTGGTCAGGTTCCCAAGACCGGTTGTTCCTGCTCACACCGTTTTAACTTCTTTGGCGAAGGGTTCCACGAAAGGCTGAGCAAATAGTGACGCTCGCGAAAGGGAAAACTGTGGTCGCGAAAGGACCGCGATAACATGTTGCGAAAGGATGCTAAGAATACGCAACCAGTTCCAAGAGGCTTTCGACCCAGCCCCACAAGAGTTTTCCACAGTAGTGCCCCACAAGAGTGTCCCGCAAGAGTTTCCCACAAGAGTGTCTCCTGCAAGAAGTATCACACAAGACTGTCCCACAAGAGTGTCTGACAATGTTTGGCCGTTTGTTTTCGAGTGCGTGTGTGCATTCGGGTTCGTGGGGTCCATGCTGTTTTGCTTTCCATCTCCTCCTGCGGTCCTGCCTCAGTGCTTTGGGCACAAGGATCCAAAGGGGCAACCCCCCTGCATGCTCCTGCTCCTGCTCCTGCTCCTGATCCGAAAACACAAGTGAGGTCAAGGGAGGCGTTCCTAGCGAGACTGATGTGTTGGCTGCAATCGATGACTTGGAAACCCTATACCGCGCGTGTGCTGAGACTGGCAACCTGGCAGACAGCATGTTTGACTTTATGAAGGAACCTCTAAAGGTGGATGACCTTCTTGACATCTCGGCCAAAGTGAAGTACCAGCCACCTCCAGTTCAAGTGGTCGGCTACGATCAGTTCCCGACAGCGTGAGAACTCCCAGGAGAAATTCTGAGTTTTCTGATGGGCGGCAAACGAGGATCTTGTGCAGTATGATCCACCTCCCAGCTGCTGCCGAATTCGCGCAATCCAGACGCCTTGTACAGATGGCGACGATGCTGGCATGATTTCCTTCTGATTATTAAAACAATCCCACGCGCAATAACAGGTAGACGCCGGGTTAATTGTTCGTTTGCCACCATAAAATCCAGCGATCGCTTTCCATTCACGACCCTCGACGACCTTTTGAGCTTCAAATCAAGAGTTGAGATACATTTGCCATGTCGTGCCCTGGATGGCACTTACCACCCATATGGCATTTCAATTCAAGACTCAATGCCTCCTTTCCCTGTTCCAGAGATACTTTTGTGAGGCGCATCAATACCATCGTTTCCTCAGCAGTCGGGTCCTGAGGCTTCAAGAGGCAAGCTGCACTCACAAAAGAACCTTGATGACTCGCTGTTTCACTTAGACTTATTGGCAGCTTCGAAAGCTGCCAAGGGCTAAACTGAGGACAAGAATCCAGAGGTACAGGAGCCCCAAATCTGGGGTGATCTCAGGCAGGCTTTGTCCGTTTCTCTTCCTGTGACTGAGAGAAGACTTGGATTCGATTCAATGTTCGGAGAGGCATCAAGGGTGCGCATCTCAGTGCCTTGTGCGACTTGCTGTGTAGGTGGTCAAGGTGGGTCAGCTTCGGTACTAATAGCAATGGCCTCCAACCAACCTGCGATGGCCTCCAACCTGAAAGCGACGATGGCCTCAACCTACTAGCGATGGCCTCCAACATAGAAAGCCCGGTGAAAATTGTGAAGTGAAGTCCTCGTTTGACACGAGAGCCATGTCAGCAAAAAGCAAGGGCAAACTTTGTAGGGCCTCCAAGCTTCTTTGTTCATACCTCCTGCATGAGTCCTTGACAGCCAACGCGTGTCGAAGAGAGCCGCAACGAAAAGCATCCTTTCTTGAGGCATGCCCGATCAGTTTGGGGCATGGCGTCGAAAGAGACCACAGTGAGTGAAAAGCCTTATTGGTGTGAACCTCAGATCTACCTCTGAGACGAGAGGATGTATATATATATATGATTGTATCCCACAAAATTCATGATCCTTGATTGGCCTAGGTTTGATTCCGCGAGCAAGGATGAGCAGGTTCCTGTGACAAATGGGCAGGCGGGGGCTGGGTTTTCACGTCTGGGATCATGGTAAATGGCGTGTACATGCGTGTACTGTATATAGTGTATATATATATATATACACACACTTTTTTTGTATATACCCAGAGCTCCACTCCCGCTGCTCATCGCCGGGGACGAAAACGCCAAGCTGTCGACAACGTCGAACACACTCGCGTGGAATACTTGCTGGAGAACCTTTTTCAGGATTTCTACCAGCTAGACGTTTCTCAATCACCAGGATTGCGGCATCTCCCCGCTCCTCAACAACAACAGCTCATTCAAGGCCTTGTGCGCACCTTGACCTCCTATCAGGACGAACTCAGTCAAGCACTCAACCAACAGGATCCTCCTCTCAATCCAGACCTCCCTACTGAGGCTCCATCCGGCCCCACCGATCAAGAACTGCCGTTCACTCCAGCCGCTACTGGGACAGAAGTCCCCGTTCCGGATTCGGGATCTATGTCACTGAGTTCTTCGTCTACATCACCCCAGAACACGCTTGCGCCTCCATTCCCACCAACTGCTGGGACACACGATTGATTGCCATCAGAGCTGCCCCTTCCCTTGGGTTGAGGCCGTACGAGCTTCCCCTGTACCATAGACTCTACCATTCTCAGCTTGAAAAAGAAAAATAATCCTGCACTCTCCTTTCTCCTTTGTCCTTTTGTCACCTTTTCATTCCGTGCCCTCTTCATTACATTACCTCTCCGCAGCCATTGGCTCCTCCCGACAGTGTTTTCATTTATCTCCCATGTCCACGATGATCTCTTCACCCGGACTTCGTGTTCCCGAACCTTTGACTCCTTTGATACCCACTACATGGAGAGACGTCCGTCAACCGTTCGAGTCCCTGGATCAAGTTCCCAATCTTTCCACCATCCGGTTCGAATTGGACATCCTCCTCGTTTACCAACCGCTCAATTATATCACCGTGACCCTCGACACCCTCCAACTTGAAACCAAGGAGTACTGGTCGATGATCTCAAAGATATGATCTACTCCCGTTTGGGACAGCGGCGTACAGCATTCTGGATGGCCCTGCCTTCTGCCGGTGACTCGCGTGTATGGGAAGCCCCGCACACCTGCACACTTGAGGACCTCGCTCTTTACTATGTCAACTCCCGAAGGATTCGTCCTCTTGGAATCGCCAATGAGTATCCACGAGATTCCACTCCTTTTCCCTACCGACCTCTACATACTGTCGCCTCTCGCCTACACGATGATGCTATTTGTCAACCTCGACTACCTCTGACAGCTTATCAGACTTATCGTGAACTTCGCCAATTTAGCTAGTCTCACCCAACCTTCCGGCTTGGCGCTTAAAATTTGCCTCCCTTTGGGGAGGCGTGTGTGTGTACACCTTATAGTCACAGGGATTCTTTCGAATTGTTTTCGGTTTGGTTCAAGTAGGGGGACTGGAGCCGATTTGCCTATCCAGTCCAACGTAGGCCCCTTTAGGACTTTCCTGGACCTTTCAGGATTTGGGTTTCTTAGGCTGGCGTGTGGCACCGCTGTCAGTCAGTACGCATATCCATAAGTGTGTGTGAGTGTATGTATGTAATGTAATGTAATGCAATGAAGTGCAATGCAATGCATGTATGTATGTACGTACGTATGTAGGTAGATGTATGTAGAGTTCATTGCAAATTAGGCCCACAGAGAAACCATATTGAAGCCATGCATCAGATGTTTGTTGCTCAAGTACCGTCAGGTGAAGCCAAGGTATCCATTCTTCAACTGCAATTGAGCCGGAGATGCGTTCAAGTGAGCCTTCTTCCAAGCCAGGGATTTGGGTGCAGTCTGTGTTTCTATGTACATACTGGTTGCTGAATGGAGCAGCACCACTCAAACTTTGAGCGATATATTGGACACAAGAGCAGCCAATGCCTGAGCTCATCGGCGAAAACCAATGACCTTATTGAAGTGGCTGGGACAGACGGGGGTAGACCACAGCTGAGGCTAAGATGGATGCAGCATGCAAGGCAGACTGCATGACTCCCATGGTCTCAGGGAATGGAGCTGGTGAGCTCACAGGAAGGATGTTGCAGATGGCCTCCAACATAGAAAACTCTGTTACAGGAACGGAGTCAGCCATATACAGGTAAGGTATGTCTTTAGCGGGTGGGGGACGTTTTCCACTGCTAAACTACGCCCTGGATATGGCCCATGACACTGGCTTGGCGAACCGTTGTCTTCATTGAAGCAATCCACGCTGCCAGAGCTCTAACATTTTCTGTTGTGGCCAGCTTCAGCTTTTGCTCGAACTTGACATAACTTGACTGCGCTATATAATTCCAAACACAAGAAACGATCTTGAATCTTGGACAAGACTGCCCAGCAAGCTGCTTATTTGGACTACTCTTTGGCACTATGATTCCAGATGGTTCCTTCTCTGTGCCTTTAGGTTTGCATTTGCACACAGAGCAGCCACAGACACCACTGGAACCGACAACTATATATAAACTAGAAACCAAAGAAGTCGCTCGCTCTCCAGAATGGCGATGGCCAGCTCCAGCTCCAGTTCCAGCTCCAGGCCACCATCGACCAAGGCTGGACTGAGATGCCACAGGACTTTCCCGAAAGACATCCTTGAGAAGCAAGTCACTCATACAGCCTCTGAGGGACTGAGGGCTCCATCAATAAGCAAGTCACTCCGCTTTCCTTTGGTAGCAACGATGTGTTTGAAAACTGTCTACGTCGATGGCTGCTCAAACCACTTGGGAAGGCGATGGAGATGCAAATGCCGGTCGAGCCACACTGCTGCAAGAATTGGTGTTCGTTAAGAGCATGGAGTAACTGCTGCACATACCAATTTTTCAAATTTGGTATGAACATCTTTGAAAAACGACCCACACGTAATCTCCTCCCCGGCAAACGAACGTGGTTGAGGCGACCAGCATCGCGCCCCTACGAGCCAGCCAAGATTTGGTGTATTTGTGATGGCTGCGGAATCTAGGATTTGACGGCCTTGAAACTTGAAACTCTGAGATTTTTTTTGTTTTTTTAAAGGCACTCTGCAGGATTCAGCCTGAGTCATCACAGTCTTTGTTCATCCGACCCATGTGACATCATGTGACTGAGGAATAGTGTGCTTGTGCATTGCGTGTCTTGGATAAGATTCAGGTCCGCCTGGATTGAATTGTGGAAAAAGACATGCACGCTACTCTTCTGATTCGGGTGCAAATGTATGGGCTGTATGGGCCATCACAATTGCATAAGCCAGCTCGTAGGAGAAACAACCTTTGCGAAAGGCGACGCTGCTGCGTAAGCGCAATGCAAGCAGAAATGCAAGCAGAAATGCAAGCAATCAATCTGACGCCTTTGTTCCGACTTGACAAACGCGACCTTGAGGTACACACTTCTTTTTGAGTGGGCCTCAGTAATTCGGCAGTCTGGATAAGTACCACCAGAGGCCTCTCAAAGCACGGCTGTTTGAAGGTCTCCAACGTCACAGTGCTGAGACTAGGGCGTTGGCCCTTGGGGGAGTCTTTTCAGTTTGCTTTTACGATAGGCGGGAGACCTGCATGGGATATGAGACCTGCACGACCCGAAGCTTTGCATCGAATCGTGCAGGCTATGAGGGGCTCTTTGTTCTCAGCATATGGTCACATCTGGTGCTCTGGCTGAAAGAGTGGGAATCTCTCGGGGCCTGGGCACTGCAGTCACAGGCTGTTTATGCATTCTGAGCAGGATGAGACCCTGCGGCACTTATATAATTGGAAACTTCAGTTGCCTGAGGCATGTATGCTGACAGACCCTGGAGCATGTCCACTGGATGTCGAGTATGCAGATGGTGATAGGCACTGCACAAAGTGCTGTCCTCACCGACTTGCTTCATTACTCCAAGGTGAGAGTTTTGCACTTTGACCAAGGTGCAGAGCGCCAAAGCCTGCGCGTGCCCACCACTGTGCCTTGGTGAAAACATGTGAAAACACCAAGTTGTATGGCGTTGCATCATAAGGCCATATGAGAATATGGCTATGCTCGCTCAGGTAGCACTTGCCGGCGATGCATCATGACCCACCGGCATGGCATGTTGCGAAGCCGAGCAGGGAGTATTGGTGCGGTCAACCAGTCAAGCCAACAGCAGAGACAGCAGAGTATTGTCATGCCCCTGCAGAATGCCGAGTCAAAAAAATGGTTTCTGTGAAGCCAGGAAGATGGATCACCACTGTCCATGGGTGCCAGGATCCAAGATCATGCAAGGTGACATGAGGCTGGTGCAACTCAGTTCTCACTACTTGCGACCAATGACTTGTGCTTGCAAGTTGACACCGAGGAACAATTGTGTTGGTGCCAAAAACCAGAGACTTGGCATCACCATGGTGTGGACACCGTGCCATGATTTGATGTTGAATGAAGATCAAGTTGAAGATCACAACATGGATCACATCCATGGACATCTTAACTCTAATAGCGTCCTTGTTACTACTAGTAAGGCACCTGTTACTACTAGCGTGGCACTTGTTTCTACTAGCTTCTTGTTACTACTAGTAAGGCACTTGTTACTACTAGCGATGCACTTGTTCCTAGTAGCGTGGCACTTGTTTCTAATAGCGTTCTGATCACAACATGGATCACATCCATGGACATCTTCAGAACTCTGGTTCCGGTTCCACACGTCGAGTCTAAGGAAACACTCTGTTGCTAACCTACTAGCGATGCCCTCCAACTTACTAGGGATGGCCTCCAACCTAATAGCAATTGCTGATGGCGTCTAAGGAAACACTTTCTTTTGTTTCTCTTCTACACGTCCCTCCAATGCGTTGCAGCGGCTTTGAGCCTTGGAGCTTATTTCGCCGACTCAGCGGTGTCCATGCCACGACGGCCACGAAAACCGTCGGCCTTTCTGGCGAAGAAGGACGCGAACCGAAGGGACGCAAAAATGGGCAGCCGGTGTGCACCAGTTGCTTCATTATCAAATACATTCAAATACCATTATTTTTATTCTATATTTAAGCTACATATTTTTTTGATTTGTCTCTAGTTTCTCTTCGTTTGCTTTGACGGGTTCAGGACCCTGCAGCTGCAGCAGAGTGGCTTGAAGAGTTGAAGAAGTATTCAGAGACACAGGTTGGGGCTTCCTCATCACGCGAACTTGGATTCTTGAGTCTTCTTGAGCGACCGCTTCCGGGAAATCGCCTTAACCGCATTCAATTTTTCTAGGTTCTAGGGGTCAACCACTTTTGACAAAGATCGGAAACGAGAAATGTCGGAATTGCACTGACAGACTTAATTCCTGGCAGGTGAGAAGTGAATCTGATTTGCTTTGCTGTGTGTTGCACCCAGTCAGCGTAGCTTTGCCAAACACAGCCCTTTCAGAATCTGAGGTGCTCATTTTTTTCGTTGCAATCATTTTCGGACTCTTCACATGCATCATGGCCTGCGACCAGGCCAAGTATGGCACAGCTTACACTATACAAACAGTCTTATTTGGCTCTGTCGCAGGTATCAAATATTACTAGCAACACCACAGGCCAGTAGTGGCTTTTTGAAAAACGTGTGCGTTAAAGGAATTGGCAGTGCTCTGCGACAGGTATTGATGTCATGAAAGGCAAGGACAAAGAAGCCGTGCAGCGACCCTGGCGGGAATCTGTGCAGGTGCAAATCCGTTCCGCGTGTCATCAGAGCTTGGGCTTTAGGGTGGCTATGGGTGGCTTGGAACATCCTGAATTGTCGGACCATTGCCTTGTCACTACGAACCAACCATTGCCCATTGCCTTGTCATGCCTTGTTATTACATTAAAGTGGAATCCAAGATACATCTCAAGAAGCCCACGTGAGACCCGGTCCAGGAAGTGATGGGACGCGGTCCGTCTTGGCGATGGCTTTTGCCGACACCGCTGCGACACACGACGCTCTGACGACATTGGATGACTAATGTGGGTTTGTTATGGTTCCCCACCTGCCAGGTGAGGGTTGTTAGAATTTATGTTAGCTGACTTCTCCTCCTCGCCGGACCTCAACCACGACCATCCACGCCCAGTGTTCCCTGCCGGAC